CTTCACCGCGTGGGCTGCTGCTGCAGCAGCTGCCGCTGCGTTTTCGCGCTCTCACCCCGCTGCGCCCCCCCTGCTGCTGCTGCTGCTGCTGCTGCTGCTGCTGCTGCTGCTGCTGCTGCTGCTGCTGCTGCTGCTCAGCCGCTGCTGCTGCGGCTGGTGACCTCGCTGCTGCGGGTGGCCCCCCCTGCTGTTGCCTACGAAGGCGCTGCATGCATTTTGCTGCTGTCGCCCAACGCGCAGCGGCTGCGAGCAGCAGCAGCAGCGCTGCTGCTGCTGCTGCTGCAGCAAACTGAAAACAACATTAAACTCATAGTGCTGGACAAACTCAAAGAGTGTGCTGCTGCTGCTGCTGCAGCAGCAGCAGCAGCCAACAAACAAAACCCTCTCGGAGACTTCGTTGTGGACCTCATGAGGGGTACCTAAACCCTAAACCCTAAACCCTAATCCCAAACCCTAACCCTAAACCCTAGCGCTAAACCCTAAACCTAATTCTAAACCCTAGCCCCAAACCCTAACTCTAAACCCTAACTCTAAACCCTAAGAATCCAAACCCTAGGCCGCACCTTTTTCAAGCTTTGATCGAAGGCTCAGTGCAAACCCTAGCAAACCCTTTTAAACCCCGATAAACCCTAAACCCTAAACCCTAAACCCTAGCATTGCGCTAGACCTTCATATAAACCCTAATAAACCCGTGTAAACCCTAATTGAGCTGTTCAAAACCCCGTAAACCCTAATAAACCCTTCTAAACCCTCGTAAACCCTAGTAAACCCTAATAGGGTTCTGTAAACCATTATAAACCCTTAAGCATCTCTCTAAACCCTCACAAACCCTCACAAACCTTCTAAACCCTCATAAACCCCCCAAACTGCAATCTCGCTGCTGCTGTTTTTGCTGCTGCTTTTGCTGCTGCTCTTGCTACGTCTGCTTTTTCACCGCTTTTGCTGCTGCTGCCTTTGCTGCTGCTGCTGCTGCTGCTGCTGCTGCTGCTGCTGCTGCTGCTGCTGCTGCTGCTGCTGCTGCTGCC